TATCCCCTGTGTGCCTTGTCGACTCAGTACATTATACGAAGTTATACGATGAATCAGGGTTGAATAAGTTAATATTTTTTTTAACTATAAGTTAAGTTAAAGTTAACAGTTTAAAAATTTAACTTATTGTTAGTTAAAATACAAGTTAGTCCATAATAAAATTAATTGTGTTAAAAGTTAAGTTCCTATCTAAAAAAGTGCATGTAAAGTCGATAACATCGCATTTCTCGAAATTATTTGTTGTTGCTTTTCCGCGATGCTAATTGATTGTCTCGCTGCGCTTACTTCGCGTAAGCGGCTGTGACATTGCATTTTGACAATTGTGTGTATTGCGGTTGACGTAATTATAAATTATAGTAAGAATTAGTGTTAAATAGTGCGCGCGAAGCGCGCGTTTGTAGTGCTAGTAATAAAAAAAAAGTAATTGAAAAGTTAAAGTTAAATTTTTTTTATTTTATAATTTTAGGGTTTCTAAATAAAGTTTTTAAATAAAGTATATATTTGTTATACTTATTTCTGTCAAGCCGCGGAAAGAGGACTGATTTTGAAAGGCTTCTTCCAACGTGATTTAATGCACAGAAGAACAATGATTTCTTCCCGCGGCCAGACTATATATTTATTATATTATTACAATTGTCTTGATGTGTGTTCTCAAATTTGAGTTTGAAGACACTAACTTAGACATGTATTTTATTTTGGATTTATACAAAGTGCTTTTACAAAAAGCACTAAAAATGTAAGGGCGACTTCACACCTTGACAGAAAAGCGGAAAACAGAAAAGCAGAAACCAATCAGAACTCGCGTTGGTAGTTAATAGTTTTTGCTTTCTGTTTTTTTGCTACCAGTGCGAGTTTTGATTGGCTTCTGCTTTTCTGTTTTCCGCTTTTCTGTCAAGGTGTGAATTCGCCCTTAAGCAGGTTCTACATTAGTTGCAAGCCGATCGCAAGCTTGTTGCAACAGCCAATCTGAAGCTTGCATTTTGAAATCAATGCTCTGGATTGGCTGTCGCCACAAGCTTGCGATCGGTTTGCAATTAGAGTTCTAGAATACAGAGATGCGACACGGCGTCGGTTGGGTTAGGTTAGAGTCCTAGATTATCAGAGAAGCGCGACCGGTGTTACGAGTCCTGATTGGACACGCAAATGGCCAATCATAAGATTGATTTATCGCTATTATAAATGGCTGCCGAATAAATCAAACTTATGATTGGCCATTCGACGCCATTTTTAATATTTTCTAGTACTTTTGCGATACTGCCATAAGCCGGTCGCGCTTCTCTGATAATCTAGGACTCTAGGTTAGGTAGCCATCGCCATTTTAATCCAGTAAAATACTTCCAACCAACGACATATATAATAGACCGAGCATTCCTATGCTTTTGCTGTGGAGGGGATGAAGCCGAAAGTTGGCAGAATACGACTGAGAGAGATAGTGCGATTTGAGGGGAATGCTCTCTCTTTTATTTTACTGCAAGATGATGATGGTGTCAATTGACAGCTGTTGACATCGGCCATCTTACCAATCTTACTATAAGATAAAATGAGACAGCATTCCCCGCAAATGCTATCTCTCTCAGTTGTATTCTGCCAACTTTCGGTTTCATGCTGTGGACAGAATGCTCGGTCTTTATATATATGTCGTTGCTTCCAATTCCAACCTTATAAACTGATGACAGTTGATGCAAAAAGAAAATACTTGCACCATAATAATAGCTTTTTATTGCATTTCAACACTTTGTATTGTCTTAATTTTTCTCTATATAATTTATATGTATGTATGTATGTACATACATACTTTACAAAGCTGTATCTTGGTGCATTAAGTGCAATAGTGAATTAAAATGGCGCTTTGTCATGTAATTTAGACAGCCAATCAGACTATACCCTTCAATAGATTCTACTTGCAACTAATGTAGAACCGGCTTTATATTCCTATATCCATGGTATAGACTGCGTTCCGCAATAAAGCGCATCATGCGCGTATGATTTATCCTTTTATCTTTGTTTAACATTTGGTGAACAACAAGGATACCATGATACATCATGCGTATGTAACCGTATGATGCGCTTTGTGGAACGCGGCCTACACATATCTAGAGTCCTAGATTATCAGAGAAGCGCGACCGGTGTTACGAGTCCTGATTGGACACGCAAATGGCCAATCATAAGATTGATTTATCGCTATTATAAATGGCTGCCGAATAAATCAAACTTATGATTGGCCATTCGACGCCATTTTTAATATTTTCTAGTACTTTTGCGATACTGCCATAAGCCGATCGCGCTTCTCTGATAATCTAGGACTCTACACATATCAAGCTATTTTCATGATACAATAGATACTTCTTTTTAGCAAATGTTCACAGCCTTGTCACTTGTCAGCCTTCCGTGTGAAAGAACGAATCCAATCATTCCCTCGTCGCGTATCTACTATTTCCGGGAAAACGGACGACCGATTGGCTGCCGGGCCTCGCTCGTGGTGCCACGGTGACGTCACCTCAATTCGAGGTGGCTCGTTTTCGCATCCCCACCATACTGTCCGCTCAGTCCAGCTGACGAGCGATCATCGTTCGATCATCGTCATTATTATCGTTGCCGTCACGGTCGTCACAGTGGGACCGAATTCGTGCACATTGTTCCTAATAACGGTATCGCGCGGACGGGAAGACGGCCTTCACGGGGCGCGACGTAACAAAAGGCAAAGGACGAGACAAACAACGGCCTCTCGCTCGCGCTCTCCTCACTCTCGACCCTTCTCCCTCTACCTCGCGCCGCGGAGGTCTTTCTCTATCTCCTCCCTTCCTCTCAATCTCGCTCGCTCGTTCGCGAGCAAACGTCGCAGATCCGGGGACCTCGTAAGAAATAACCCTCGTCTCTCGCGTCCCGCGCGTGAGAGAAAGAGAGAGTACAGAGTGCGTGCTACGTAAATCTGGCACGCGTACGGACGCGCGTGTGGGTGCCGTGATTGTTCTCGGCGGGACTGTCGCGCGGAGATAGACAACGCGCGCAAGGTGCGCGGTGAAGGAAGGAGGTCGTCGTCGTCGTCGTTGCCATCGCCGTCGCCGTCGTCGTCCGTCAATCGCGCGTGCACACGCATCTACGGATCTACACCTATCGCGGAGAGGGACGGAGAGTGAGAGAGAAGGAGCGAGCGTGATCAGCCATCAGTCGTTCGCAGAAGTTAACGGGGAGCAGCCATTCGTAAGGGATGTCCACCCCTGCGAGGAGGCGATTGATGAGGGACTTCAAGAGGTACTTGGCGCACGACGGCAGATTAACGTGCCGTTCGTCCGTCCGTGCTCCATCTGTCCTCTCCTCTCCCCTCTCCTCCCCTCCACCCCTCCGTACGTCTGTTCGATCGTGCTCTCGGCACGACGCCATTGTAGGCCGCAGCGGCACCTCCTGGTGCGCCCGATTCGACCCCGACTCGAGTCGACGATCTTCGCACCTTCCGCGCGGAACGTGTCAGCCTTTATTATTAGAAACGGCGTTTTCCGCAAGACGCGTCCCTCCCGCATTCGCCTTCCCCGCCGTCGGCAATCTTCCATCCCTTCCCCTCCCCCTTTCCCTTCGATCTTCTCCCCTATCTGGCCCAGTAAAACAAACCGTTTCTCATCCTGTCGACGGGTCCACGCGGGCCCCGATACGTCCCGGCCGTTTTCGAGAAACAGTCCGCCGACGAATCTTTACGATGATCTCACCTTAACCACGATTCACTTCCTCGTCCTTATGCTTATGATTAAACGAGGCGGTTTTTTTTGGATCTTGATAAATTTCATGTAATAAATCGCTCGTATAAAACTAGCAAACTTTAATAGACGTTTGATAAATGTGTTAGGAGCGAATTGGATATTTGTTAATTTTACGCATGATTTGTCAGATGATTTGCAATGATGAAAATTTTACGACACCTGACACTGTATTTGTAGACGTATTGACGTGTATTTGCAATATTAACTACGATTTACAAAAAGAAAATGTGTTATTCTCAATATTCTTTTACATGCCAGAAATAAAGTCTTATACATTTTATGTGCTGTCACTTGTAAGACAGGGCTCTAAAAATTGTTATTTCCGTCAAAGATTACAGGAAGATCCACCGACCGGAGTATCAGGCGCCCCGACAGACAATAATATTATGATATGGAATGCAGTTATATTTGGGTAAGATTTTTTTTCTACACGTTTGCTTTTTGATAACGCTTGTGTCTCAAGGAAATGTCCTTCGTCATCAAAGATATATATCTGCGCGCATAATAAAATCTTATAAAATCTACTAACAAAGCTTTAGTTACCTTTTGTAAAATATGCTTACAAAATGACTAAAGATAAAGAAATTTTGCTTTAAATTTCAAAGAGACGAGATAAAATTGAGTATTTCAAGTGCATAAAAGCTCCTGACTGGGATGTTTTCATATGTTGCAGACCACATGATACTCCGTTTGAAGATGGCACCTTTAAACTTACAATAGAATTCACAGAAGAATACCCCAACAAGCCACCGACAGTGAGATTTGTTAGTAAAATGTTCCACCCTAACGTATACGCGGACGGTGGAATATGTCTGGACATACTACAAAATCGCTGGAGTCCTACTTACGACGTCTCAGCCATCCTAACATCTATACAGGTACTATTTTTTCCTTTCTCTTTGTCGCAAAGTGTATTCTGATGTTTCTTTTTTCTGGCATTCCAAATAGTCGAGAACTGAATCGCGTAATTTAATAAATTATCATTTTATGAATATCTGTCATACAAACAAATAATGTTTGATGTCTTTTTCTTCTTAGAAGGAAGAGATTTTTTTTTCTTTATAATTCCATCGCTATGAATTTAGATTTTTTTATTTGCATATTGAAATTATTAAAAAAAATTTAGTATTTCAATATCATGTGCTATTACAGCTTATAATCACATCATAATATAGATAGAGAATATTTACAAGTAGTAATTTATACGTTCTAATATAATTTTATTCATAATTCTTCTGGAAGTCACAAATATTTTACACAGCAATTAACAAATGTTTATAATATAACAAAATAAAATAAAGATTTTAGAGATACTTTCTGGATTTCAAGTATTGTTTGTTTGTTTTGTCTTTACGTTTTAGGATCTGTGTCGTTCATTATGTTGTTCATTATGTTGTTTTATTTTCTGTAAAATCGCTCGTATGTTCATTGTCACACGTCGCTTCCATAAGATCTCTGTTGCGATATAAATGTCCAATAAAGAGGGATCGTTCGTTTTGTCTTAACAGCGGTTGCAATTCAGCAAAGTCTAATCACATGATAATTCTGATTTGAAATTATTTGTACGTAACATTTGTATAATACATCTATGTCTCTGTATGTAATTACTTTCGATCACCCCATCGAATACGCATTTTTGATTTTTCCTGATTGATTAGAGAACGAAAGAAGCAAAAAAAAGAAAGATAGTCCTTTCCCCTCGCGTTCCATTTACCGATTGCGGCCATGCTCTTTGTAAAAAAAAAGGATAACGAAAAAAAAAACTACCTTCCGAAGTGTAATAAAGTTACGACTTATGTGATTGCAGTCGCTGTTAAGTGACCCGAACCCGAATTCACCTGCCAACTCAATGGCAGCGCAACTGTACAAAGAGAATCGACGCGAGTACGAGAAACGAGTGAAGGCTTGCGTGGAGCAGAGTTTTGTGGATTAGTCGCGGGCGTTAACGCGATGCTGCCGTCGCGGCACCAGTCAGCCACCAACCGCCATCAAATACGGGGGAGAGGAGCGTTCAGCCTTACCAAGGAGCTAACGATTAAATAAGAAAAAAAAAGAACGAAAAAACGAGAGAAAAGGGGAAAACATACCTAGCTGTTTCTTCCCTGAAAGCTCTACCGAACTACCACGACAGATGTGCAACGTTAGACGGAATTTTTACGATGTTGAATAATAAATTATTATAAAATTGCGTATTTATTTATTTCGAATATCTGATGATACACGAAATTAGTTACTATATTAAATGTTAGAGTATAAAAAAAAATACTTGGCTTTCTTTGTGTTTTTTTCACTTCCTTTTTTTTCTTTTCTGTGCGAAAGGAAGCGTCTTTTCGACAGTGCAGAGTTGTACTTTGAATGAATTCTAGTACTTCAACTATCACCCATAAACACAAATTCACTTTATATATGTGTGTATATACATATAAATATATATACATATATATAAGATATACATATATATAAAATATATACATAATAATAATAATGAGAGATAATGATAATAAAAAAAATGCATAATTTCACTTCATAGTCTAATAATTGTATCCCGATATTCGCTTTCCACAATCCGGAGACCTCGCAAGGGGCCCACAAAAGGTGCATAATAGCTACAGCATAGAAAAAATTATCCAAGCATCTTGACTCCTTTTGGATCACTTTCCACTCAAAAACTAAACCGGAAATAAAATAAATATAAATAGTAAAATAATAAAATAGATTAGAATAAAATAAAAAACTTGGGTTCTTATACGAAGGTTGCGAATTTCTCGTGCTTGTCGTGCTTTCTCGTTTTTTATTTTATTCTAATCTATTTTATTATTTTACTATTTATATTTATTTTATTTCCGGTCTAGTTTTTGAGTGGAAAGTGAACCAAAGGGAGTCAAGATGCTTGGATAATTTTCTCTATGCTGCAGCTATTGTGCACCTTCTGTAGGCCCCTTGTCAGTCCTGTTTGCGCTTTGCTGCTTTTTATGTGTATGTTTCGATTTCTCTGTCTCGAAAATTCGAAAATATATCTGAAGTGACATATGCTGAGGGAATACGTCGACTATTTGTGTTGCAGTCACTTTTGGACGAACCGAATCCTAATTCGCCAGCCAACTCTTTAGCGGCGCAATTGTACCAAGAGAACAAGCGGGAGTACGAGAAGCGAGTGGCCACTGTCGTCGAACAGTCTTGGCTGAATTTCCAAGAGAGCCACACGGAGGACAATCCTCGCTGACATTAAGTATGCCGCTTTTTCACACGACGCGTAAGAGATCTCTGTCGCAGCTTCTCTGTCTAATATAAAAGTTGTCCCCCCCCCGCCGCTCCCCCTCCGTATTATATACATACGTAATGATTCGGTCGACACGTTTTTCGGTGGAGCTGTATCTGTAATATTCCTTTAACATCTCGTGGCGAACATTCCGTGTGTTGTGAATGTTGTGATCCAACAAGTCTGTAGAACACAATGAAGGGAGATTTGCACGGCTCTCACTGTTGCAAAAAAAATATCGAAAGAAAAAAATTAACAAAAAATAGGTAGAAAATCGGAACGATGTGAAGTTGCACTATAAACTTATGTGATCTTTTACTTATAAGTACAACATGTATTGTCTTGTTCTTATAACTAGCCGTTATGTAGGTATCCCTCTCGCGCAAAAGTAAAAAAAAAAGATAATGTCCATACAATGTTTCGCCATACCTTAATCTTGCAGGCAAATTGACTTTCTATTATTTTACAAGTGTAGAGACGAGCTTGTGGAAAATGCAATTGTACTGAAGAAATATGAAAGTCTGTAAGTCGCTTCTGGAAAGTCTACTTTCACCATGTGTAACGGCGCAAAATATAAGAAAATAGTATGATTATTTCTCGTTTTCAACTTGGTATTAACCATTAGAAAGTCATGCTTGTATTAGACTGTAAATGAATGTCATATATTGAATTGATAGTAATCGAATTAATAAATTTTGCAAGAAAGAAATTAACGTGTTGTAAATTTATACTGTTTTGTTGTTGTTGTTGTGTTAATATAAATACTTAAATTTAACATGAAAAATATATATCAAGTATAATTTTTATGAAAATAACAATTTTTTTAACAAAAAAAAAACAGATAAAATTATTATGTAATCAGTACTTAGATATTTTATATATTTGTTGACGTTCTTTTTTTCCCTCACCCTCTTTCTCTTTCCCTCTCCCCTCTCTACTCCTTGTATTAAAGGGTTCCGTCCTCTCTTCTCCAACATTTATATTTTCATGAGATGTGAAATGTTTATTTCAATCGTCCCCAGTTATTTTGTACTTATTTACATAGTTATTTTTGCTTTTCATTACATGTACATTAAGTTCATACTATATACATATAATTCAAGATGTGCGCTTTTTGACTATTGCTTCCGCAAAGGTATTTTATTTAATATTTTATTATACGCATACTAAACTAATAGATGAGTATATTAAGTTGATATTGCAATGATGTCAACGAAGAAAATGCATTTAAATATAAATTTAATTATTTTATATTGATGGCATTATCTCTATGTATAATATATATATATATATATATATATATATGTACAATCGTAAATATCACATATACACATATTTATTTTTTATAATTTAGAAGGAATATATAGTACTCTCTGATTAGAATTCTAGTTATAACATTGTGAAAAAAAACAATTTATATAATTTAAGATTTTAACAAAATATTCCTGAGAAGTTCGAAATTAAAAGGAATCTCGATTAAGTCCAATTAAGTTTTGAGAAATTTTTAAGTCTTTCGCCACCCTGCTCTTGCTATGATTTTTCCTCTTTTTCTTTATTGTATCTCTCGAGTTCTTTAAGGAATTGCGCCTTAGGTTTCATAACGTTAGGTCGATCACCGCGACACTTAGGACAGAACCATTTGCCTTTTGGCTTTGTCGTCAAGGAAACGCAGGAGAAATGAAACCATTCGATGGGGCATAGATCGTTGTCACAAAGAATCATTTCGCCGTACGATATCTGATCGCATAGACAGTACGTCGGTTCGTCAGGGTCTATAGCGAGATCGTCCTCCGGTGGCGGTGGCGTATCCTCGCGATGCTGGTTCTGTTGATTGCCCTGCCGAGACTTCCGCTTTTTCTTCTTACCTGTAGCCGTCGCTGCCGTCTTTTTCTGATTTCCATTACTCGTATTAGATAATGCCGAGGACCTCGTCTCCGTCATTCCGACCATCATGTCCATTGAATGAGTCGACTCTATCAAGGTCTCGGTCCTAGTTCTTCTGGCACGTTTCGGCTGACGTTCCGAGTTGTTTGCGTGGCTTGCATTATTCGAATTGCTGTTTATATTTGATTCGCGCACCGACTCGGAGCTCTCTTGCTCCTTTCCAAAGTCTGTAACATGATAACAATTAGATTTGAAGTGCTAGAATTGTACATCTAAACATTGATTTTATTAACTTGAAAAATGTACAAAAAAAAATCATACCTAAGTTTCGATAATCTACATCTAACTGCCTGGATTTGTTCTCTATAAGATCTTGAACTTGCTGGACAATCTGCAATTTCTCATCTCCTATCTCTTGTGCTGCAATCAAGGCCTGCTGAACTCTCAACAATGCTCTCCTTTTAATCGCAGGATCCACGTCGTTCCGCAATACCTCCTGTTGCTGATCCACTTCGTGTAGATATGCTATAAAGTATAAAATAAAAACAAAATAAAATTATCTAAATAGAATAAACAACTATTTCTTCGCAGCGTTTTAAGATGCTTATTCGCATCAGATTATTAAAAATTGAAAATTAATTGTAATCTCACTATGCCAGCTTCAACTAAAGCACCTTTTCATGCTGACACTCGATGCACATTTTTAGTGTCAAAAAAAGATCACAATTGACGCTTGATATTATCAATTTTGATCAAGTGATCTGTTTTGACGCTAAAAATAAGCATCATGCGTCAGCATGAAAAAGTATCTTAAGGGTACTATTACATTTATCCGTTTTTGGTCGTATGACAAATGTTTCAAGCCTATTAACTGCCTATTGGATACAGAGATCTGCGAATATCTCTGTGTGCTCCTGCAGCCAATTAACTTGCTTACAAAATTTCGTATGACAGAAAACGAACAAATGTAATTGTACAATTGTGTTGCAAGTCCGACATTTATTCGGTATGTAATTTAAATGACTAAATAATGGATTATTAAAATTTCATAGAAATACTAAGCATCAAGATCCAACCTCAACCACAGAAAGCGCTCTTAAGTTTACACATAATGTTCACTTACACGGTCTAAAATTAAAATTACTATTGTTTATATGTAAACCTTATATTAACTATATCTATAAGACACTGATTCTAGAACTAGATATAAGATTCTTTAAGAAAAATAAATTATTAAATTCACGGATAAAACGAACAAAACAACTTTTTGATTTCTCACAATCAAAGTTTTATTCACAGATTTCGATAGTGTCATTGATGTTTATTATCTTTCAAAATCTGAGTAGCACAAAAGTTTAAGAGACGGTCCAAGAAGATTGAAATAATTTTTGTTATGTTGTCCAAAGCATCGTTATATTTACAAACCATACTAATTCCATACCAAAACCATCAGACAATGCTGCTAAATTATTATTTCTCTGTAAATGAATGGATGATCTAGAGATATGAAAAACGCCACGCGAGATATCTATCAGAAAATCGTAGGAAACGCAACGAATCGTTTATTGAATCGCGGACTCGAGAAATCGGGAGCGCGCAAACAGGATTGGAGCAACAGATTCAAAGGAACCTCCGAGAATTCGATTGCACTCACTTTGACAAGTGGCATCCAATTCGCGTAGTCGGGAGACGTGCCTCTGCAAGTCATTCGGCAAATTTTCCACACAGTCCAGGTAGTTCTCGATATACGTCGCCGAATAGAGCGCTTCGACCACCGCCTGATTCAGCATCGCCACGGCGTCCTTTCCTCCCCTTCTTATTCGCTCGTTCTCAGCACACGACGTGAAAAATCGTCGGGAATTGGTTGTCACTGACTCTATTGTGATCCTTCACACCACCATTAACTCATACGGCTGCTTTTTTCTTCTTTCTTATATCTGGCATCTGCCCTCAAGCGAGAGTCAATATACAACGGCCAAATTTTTAAGTTGTGCGGTAAGATAAGTCGCGCGGTGAGGTATTAATATACCAATATGGAAATTCGAGAATACTGAATTGCGATTTGCGATGCCCTCGCGGGTCGCGGGTGTTCATACGGCGGGCTACGCGATATGCGGGAGCGTACGTAATTAATTGATCATCGATGATTCGCGCGAGATAGATGGACGTGACCATGGTAGAAATACAAGGGTATGCTCTTGCGCACGGTAAGCCAGACAACCAATAAGAATTGCAGCTTGACTACGTCATCATTACGTGGCAAATTCAAACGCTTAATGATAAAATAAATGTTTATGGTAGCATCAATACATTAAGGAATAAGCGAAACGATTTCACGAGAATGATAAGTAATAAATATTGTGTCACATCAGTTTATATATTCCACACATGTAATTTTTGTAAAACGAACAAATGTATTATGTAAGTAAATGAAATTAAGTTAAATAAACTGAAATGAAAAAAATAATGAAATTACAGCACCTGAAAAATTATGAAAGTTTTTG